CGGCAGGCAAGCGCGCGTGGTGCGGGTGCACCAGCTCCAGCCTCATCGTGCCTTCCGCGGGTGCCAGCCAGAGGAGGGCGATGGTGATCAGGATCCAAGCCATCCTCCCCATCAATGATGACAATGCTCTTCTCTTGTGTTGTGTGACAATTTATGTTGCTAATGCAATGCGTTTGTTTTGACAATAATGTTGTTGTTGTCGTTGTTCTTGTTTTTGCTGTTGTGTTTTGGTTTTGGGTTTTTTGATTGATGAAAATGGGAATGAGATGGGAGAATAAGGAGGCTAGAAATGTGTTGATGATGGGTCCATTTTGGATTTTGAGAGGCACACAAAAGCCTTTGTTTTCGATCCACTTTGGGGTTGAGACTTGAGGGGCTTTGCTTATCTATATTTATATTTATTTATAATAATAATAATAATAATAATGATGGTTGTGTTGGTGTTAGTTTCCTTGTTGTCTTGTCAAACTCTTGCTATTTCTCTCTCATGCTACAACCTCCACGTCGTATTTCGTTTTCCTTCGCCCTTTGTCTTCATTCGCTTGCTTCCATAATTGTTGCACAGTTAATGCAGTGTTAACTATTTTGGATGCTGGGTTTGTTGCACGCCACCACACTTGAATTATTTTAAGAGGGCTTTTGGTTTTGGTTTTTCGTTTTTTTCTTTCTTCCCATGCTATGGTTAATTCCTAATGTCTTACACGGCTAATTCCGTTTCATTTGCCTTTTTTAGATCATTATTATAAACGGCATGTAAATTTGTTTTAAGGAATTTAAAGGAAAAAAAAAAATAACAAGTATTTCGTCCGGTAGCTGGGAGGCCTGTCCCACCCCACCAAAGTAAATTAGATTTTTTTTTTAATAAGAAAGTGAAAACGAATAAGATATAATATCTAATTAAAATGAGATTGAATTTGTGTATTTTTATTAAAAAAGAATTAATCTAGTTCAATTTAATTACGAATTAATTAATTTAGATTAAGTTAATTAAGATAATATAATTAAATTTATTTTTTAATTAAAATTTAAATAATTTAAAATAGATTTGATTTATTTGATATTTTATTATAAATACAATAATATTAATTCATAAAAACAAATGATCTTATAAGTTAAATTTTAAAATAAATTTATTAATTTATTATATCATTATAATCAAATAGATAATATTAATATAAAATAAAATTAAAAATAAATATGTTATATTATTACTATGTTATTAATCTAAATAACAAATAAAACAGATTTGTAGCTTATTGAACAATTGCAGAATTATTTAAGCACAAGGACAAATTCCATTTTACTATTTAATAAATATGGCTGAAAAAATAAATATGCAAAAGAGTAAGTACCCAATATCACTAACTAACTTGTAAATTATTATTATTATTATTATTATTATTATTATTATTATTATTGAATTGGGTTGGATGATGGACTAAAAATACATAATTTTTTATCTAACTTATCTAATGTCATATTTTGATGACATGACCCGAATTCTAAAATAAAATAATAAAATTTAAATAATATTTTGATTTTTCGCAGTTATTTACACGTGTACCCACTTATACCTTATTTTTAGATATTTATAATTTATATTTTTTTTCTTCTTTCGATAAAGATAAGAAAGATTACAAAAATAATCGTAATGAAGATTGAACCTAGATCTTCATGCTTTTAATTACTCCAACTCTTCCCTACCTAATTACTAGGCTAACCCTAGTGGTTCCCATGGTTTATGTTTGAACTAAATTTAATTGAACGAATAATGAGTGAATCTAGTTCAATAATTTTAATTTTGTGTTTGAAAAATTATTATTATATATTTGTGAAAGGGTTGGATAGAAATTGCGTTGGGTATAAACATTGCAATCCCTACCACCAAACCAACTGGATCAGATATCCCATATTACAGCTTAGAAGACTGCATTGTACACTTTTGTTGCCCTTTGTCTGAGAACAACCCGTCAAAGAGCCTTCACAAGACAGCAATTCAAGCACCAGTACCAAACCTTGGCTCAGACATCGCACTTATCATGTTTCTCTTCATTAATGTCATAGATGCACCATTTTAAAATAAACTTATCATGTTTCTCTTCATTAATGTCATAGATGCACCATTTTAAAATAGAAAAATAAAAAACATGATTCTGGTTTACCTATGCTAAGTCAAATATTTAAAAACTAATATATATTCTTCATGTGAAAATGAATATAATATAGATGAAATAACAAAAATCCAAAACTGAAAGGAAAATGAGCCTGGCCAATACCTGAAAGGTGGTGATTTTTATATAGAAAATAAACTTCGTTTAATATGAAGTTAATGTTGGAGAAAATAGTTCAATAAAAGAATACCGACGAATTAACTTGTAGCTCAAATAACATCGACCCAAGTCTTAAAAGTTTTGGGTATAATGTTGATACGAGGGCTCCACAAAAATTACTATATGTTCCTAGAAAACATACTTCACAGATCATTCATGAAATTGTGTTTTGTATAACAACTAGTATTTTAGGCACTATATAAAATGTTTATTATTTATAATTAAAATTTATAATAAGTATTTAAATATATAAAGTATAACTAAAATTTGTATAATTAAGCATTTTAAATATAAATTATATTTTATATTTATAATAAATAATTTATATAGTGATACGAAATTATTTTAATTATTGATAATTTATTTTAAATTATTTAAATTTAATTTATAAATAAATATAATAAATATAATTGAATTATATAGGAAGTTCTAAACTCTTTCTCTGAAGAAAAGTGCTTAAAATTAGATTTTTCTATAAAAAATGAGATAATTAAATATTATTATAGATATAATAACTCTTTTTAGTCTTAGATATTAAAAGTTGCTTAGTTTTTGTTTAATTCAACTCGAGTTGAGTAAATTCAATTCAGTTCTTCTATTAATAAAAATTAAAATAGTCATAATAAAATTTGAATTTAAGACTTTATATTTAATAGAGTAGATTAAGCCTTTTCATGTTATTTAATGTATTAAATAAAAAGACAAGAATATAAAGATAAAAAGAAAGATGTGAAGAAAATTGGAGAAAATTTGTCTTATTTTATTCACATAGCACATATTCTAAATAATTATTTAACTACTTGTAACTTTTAAGAGTCATTTATTAACCAGAATGTATTTAGAAGTTATTTTTTAACAATAATATTTTTAGGATTTTTTTTTCTTAAATAAAAATATTTTTAGAATTTATTATCACTCTCATATATATATTTATTTTATTTAACTTAATTTAACTAGTATTTTAACATTTATGATCTTAATAGACATATATTAAATATACGTACATTTCAAATGTTTATTGAAAAAAAATACATTTCAGTCCCTAAAATCGTTTTATGAGACAACATTAAAGAAGAGTTAACGCCCCAGGGTGAGAAGTGTGTCAACATTTTTCTTTTCTTAATTCAAATAAATTTCCTTCTTAAGGAAGAATTTGATATAAGGGAAATTTTTAGTTTATTAAAAAAATATAATTAATGAAAGATTTTTTTTAACTATGTTATTAGTACGAATTATTTATCATTTTTGTTGGTAATTAATTTTTATCAAAAAATATGTGATAAATAATTAAATCTTAATTTTACTCATTTAATATGATAAATAATTAAAGATTATGAGAAAATTCTATATATATATATATATATATATATATTAATTATGTGAAAGTTCTATTAAAACTAAATGTATATAATTGAATTTTGGTCTTGAATATAAAATAGATCATGTTAAAAGTGAAATGCTTTATTTTGTGTGTGTTCATTGACAAAAATTAGTCACTATTTTTAACGATAAATATCATGATTAAAAAAATTTTTAATTCAAATAAATATATGTAAATATTGTTAAAATTATTTATGACAAATCAAATCAATTTTAATGATGTGTTAAGAATTATGATTTCGGCAAAAATAACTTTTAAACATGAAAAGATTCTTTCTACTAAATACACTCTTAATGTATGTTCTTTAATTTAAACGTAAAACTAATTTGTCCTTTCTTGAAGTCCGCAATTGATATTTTCTTGCACTTGTAGTCTTTGCTATTGTTTTTCTGTTTTGTCGGACAGCAACAACATAATTCAAGGCCATATTAACGAGTGTTATAAAAATATATATTATAATAATAAATAAAGTAATTAAGAGTATAATAAGAAAATATTTATAATATTAAGTGTTGAATTTTTTATTCTTTATTCAATATTATCGAAACAACTCTTATAATTTCACTCTTTTTGTAAGTTAAGTTTAATCAATTACAAATAATCTTAAATGAGTTTTAAAGTAACTATATTATAGATAATTACCTGTAATTAAATAATAAAAAATACTATATATATATGTGTGATATATATTATTGACTTTTTTTCCCTCTCAATATATATAAACTCGCATAAATGTGAACGTAAAATCATAAAAAAAAAATTGAAGATCAAATCGATATAAATTATCATGTTAAAAAAATGATGTATATAAATTATTGAAACAGCTATGAATATTGAATGTGTTAGAAAAAGTTTAGTCACTACTATTGACTGGATACTTCAAGGAGGAAAAAAAAAGAAGAAAAAAGCTTAGGGAGCAAGATGTGGAAAATAACAGCTGAGCCGTATAAAAAGGTGCTCGCGGTTTGACTTGCAGAAAAGGAGCCAGTTGGCTGAAAGTGAGTGGTTGACAAATAACATACGCGTTAATCTAATTAAACAATTTTTATTCAAATCACCAACCAAAATCATTTTTTTAATTTTTCACTTTAATAACTTACTTGCACTGCAATTTTTATACTTATTTATCAGTAGGTAAGATATTGAGTTTTCTTTATGCTGATTTTCAGGAAATTTAAAATGTCTACACATCAACTCTACTCCTAGCTAGCTAGCACAAAACCATTATACTATTCTTTTTATTATATATTTATTT